GCATATAATTTAATATAGATCCATATATCTCTGCGTGTGTGTAGATTAGATCTCCAACCCATATATCTTGAAATTAGAGAAGAAGGTTTGGACAGCTTTATATTATAAGTAGTATCATATGTTGATATGTTCCCTCCATTCTTAGGGCTTACGGTTATAACATTGAAATTAAGGAATCTTTAATTAAAATAAAATATTGTTGTGCAGTGATAAAAAAATTATATAGAAAGAACAATAAGATTAATAAAAAAGAGAGATAATATATAAAAACAATAGATGATAAATCATAAATGGTGTATCTTTTATATATTATTTATTTTATAATAATTTTATATTATTTATTCTATACTAAATTTTAGTTATTAATGGTATTAACACTTTAAAATAGATGATTTTCTATGTTGTTAGATAAAAATATATTAAATTTAAAATTTAAGTATCTATCTTTTTCAAAGTATAGCCAAAAAAAATTATTCCCCGAATAGATATAAAATTATAGTTAAATGATATAATTAAAAATTTATCATTATTTGAGCCATATAGCTTGAAAAAATGGAGCAGATCTTAAATTTCTCAAAAGGTAAAATTTTGAAAAAAAAATAAGAAAAGTCCAAAATAACAATGATTTTTTTTTTTTGAGCAAAACAAAATGACAATAATTTTGGAATGAGTGGGATCAAACAAACTATCAAAGCTAGGACTCGGAGTTTAAAGTACAAGATAATTTAATTTAAAAATTAATATTTTTAAAATAATAATACAATAATTAACAAAAAAATCATGTTACGGACTGAAATGTATAAGTATATTAATCATTATTTTTTAAAAATTATATTTAAACATGTTGAGATTTTTTATATAAATACTTTTTTATGTTTTTTATTATTAAAACAGTACATATTTAATTAATTTTTGAATTTAAATATTTTTATTTAATTTAAAAGGTGTAAAGTATGATGTAAGACTTGACTTTTAATTTTTTAAAAAATGGAAGGGGTGCATTCGCAGTCTCGCACCATCACTCTAATGCGGTTTGTGGTAGGATTAATAAATGATTTTTAGTTTTTTATATTCTTTAATAAAAAAATGATAAAGAGATTCTTTTTAATTTAAGTTAGTTTTGAATAGTAAATTTTAAAAATTTATAATTTAATATTTTAATTTTATAATTATATTATGATAAATTTATAATTGATTTTTTAAACTTAACATGATTGAAAAATAAAAATTTTTTATTTAAATATAAAATATAATAAATTATAAATTGAGAAATTAAATTCTAAATTTTTTAAATTTCACACTTGTTATTCAATTTAAATTAATTAGTTCTTTTTACTTTTCCATCATTCTCCGTCTTTAATAATAACAAGTAGACCAATAGATATGAAGCAGGGGATGGAAAACCCGTTGGGAAAAAAAAAAAAAGTGGATGGAAAAGCCAGTGCGTCATATGTCCAGGTGCCGCCTCTCTATATTCTATCTGATAGAGGGACAAGAAGACTACCCCATTTTGTAGGTATTGATAAATTAATATTTTATTCTTTTAATAGGAACTTATAAAATATTTTTAAAAAATTTTTATATATTAAAAAACTTATAAAATAGTTTATAATTTTATTTTTTCAAGATAAAAATATAAACTTTTAAAAATATCCTTCATTTAATACAACTCAATCAATAAAAGAACATTAAAAAGAAAAAATATGGAAAAGAATAATATTAAAAAAATATTATTAATAAAATATTATTTTTATCAAAATGTTTGTATTAAAATATTAAACCTCTAAAATGTATTATAATTTGAGATAAAAGAAGTAGTATTTATTGACTTTTATTATGGCAAAATAATGACTTTATTGAAATAATGCTATTTTTTAACCTTCTTAAGGGAACGATCCGATGCGATTATTAACTTAGTGGTGGCTAATCAATATTAATTAATTAAATTAATTACCATCCAAATGACGTTATGAAAAAGGAATCAACGGAAGTTATCTTGGAAGCTAAAAGCATCTTCTACAGTCAAACGACTAAAAGTCATAATTGCACTTTGATCTTTTTGGTTTTTTCCTTCTTGTTACGACCCTACTAGTGCTACGCGCACTCTCAATCGTTGCTTCTTTCTTGATTCTCTTTCTTATTTGTTCAAATTGAGTTTACATATATAAAAAAGTAACAATAAGGATAACTGAATAAAATTTATATCAATTAACAATTAATAATTTTAAAATTACAGAGCAGTACAATATTAATTTTTTAAGTTTAAAAGACAAAATTACCTCTAAAATTAAAATAAGCTAAAAAAAGAGTCACCCACATTACATGGCACTTAAGAGCTCCCATGCTAGGTGCACTTATTCAAGAATTTGATAAATGTGGTTAAAAATTTGATCTTATGACCCCTAGCCACTTAAAAAAGTTAGTGGCTACCAAACCTTTAATTTTTTATGGCAAGAAAAAAAATATAAGTAGGAAATCAAGCTTTTAATTACTTTCATATTATAACATAATGATGTTGTTAATTCATAAATGACACTGATATTTTACTAATGTTACTTGTTAATCTAACACAATTAATTACAAATTAAAAGCTTTAAATTAATTACAAATTAAAAGCTTTAAAACTTTATGCATTTACTTATTAAAAATCCGAATCTATTGTTATAATCATGAATGAGTTATTGTCAAAATTCGAATGGATATTTGCTGATGAAATATTAACACATATAATTAAGCTCGTCTTATCAATTTTTCTAACTTGTTGACACCCAAAGAGATTGTTATTAATTTTGAATGAATTGTTGTGAAAATGTAAATATATACTTGTTGATGAAGGACTAATACTTATACAATTAAAACACATCTTATTCATTTTTCTAACTTGTTAACACCTGAATGAATTATTGTTAATTTAAAATGAGTTGTTGTAAAAATTTCAATGATTACTTATTAAATCATGAGTGGACTATTGTTAATTTAGTTCTTGTCAAGGACTAAATTAAAAATTAACTTAAAAAATTAATATTAGTTAAGGACAAGCTTTAACAAGTTATGAAAACGAATAAGATGTGTTTAATTGTACAAGTGTTAGTCCTTTGCTAACAAGTATGCATTTAGGTTTTCACAATAATTCATTAGAAATTAATAACAATCTATTTGGGTATTAACAAGTTAAAAAAACTGATAATACAGGCTTAATTGCATGTATTAGTCTTTCATTAATAAGTATTTATTTAAGTTTTGATAACAACATATTCATGATCAACAACAATATAATTGGACTTTTAATAAATAAAATGCAAGAAATTTTAAAGCTCTCTATTTGTAATTGTTCATGTCAGATTAATAATATTAATAAAATAACAAGTGTCATTCATGAATGAACAACACATTGTTATGTTATAATATGAAAGTGGTTAGAAATTTAATTTACTAATATTTTTTTCCTTGCCATATACAATTAAAAAGTTTGGTGACTAAGCTTTTTAGGTGGCTGAAGGATTATGTGATCAAACTCTCCCTTGGTCACCTTTATCAACTATTCTTGAATAAGTGTCATTGGCGTCAAAGCTCTAGTGACCAACTGCTAGCGACCCTGCTCTAACGGTAATGTAAACTTTGTTTAGTGATCCTTAAATACTATTTTTTCTATTAAAAAACTAAATCATTTGTGGTAACTCCAAAGAAGAACAAAGTTTAAAATAATGAACATACAAAAAAATAGAAAGAAAAACAAATGACAGTTAAAAACCTCATAGCAAGTTAATACCAAATCAAAATTTCTTTAGCACTTGTTATCTTATATTTTAGCATTGAAAATGAATGTTTTAAAATTAAATAAGATGTTAAACTAGAAAGATGATGAGTCTCAAGTTTGATACTAGTATAACCAGTTAGACTAGTTGTCAAGCTGCTAACATAATTATTAAATAAAACTAATATTAAATACATATATAAATTATATGTATAAGAAATAAAATATTGCATGTTAATGTTAATAAAATAACACAATATGACCATAAATCAATAATATTATAAATTATAATTTTATAGATAAATCTTAATTAAATTCACTATAAGTAAACATAAAAGTATCTATAATTGCATGTATAGTTGTTAATATCATTTTAGAAAATGATCCTAGATCATATTATATACAAGCGAACAGGTCCAAAATGAAGTTGGTTTTTAATAGACTCTATTCTTTTTCTTTTTCTTTTTAATTTTCTAGCTTTCTTTTATATTAGGTTTAATTATGTCCAAGTTTTTGAAAATCATTTTTGATTTTTAGCTTAGCTTTGATTTTTGATTCAATGGTAGCTTAACTTTGGTCCAACTTAGTTTAACCATGAAAATGATTTTTTATCCAAACTAAGTCGTTAACGGTTTCGATCAACAATCTAACTAATCCGACTATTTAGTTTGATCCACTTCTTAAACATGTATTGAAAATGTTTAAAAAAAATCATGATTTGATACTACATTTTTACGAAGTCTTTAATTGCCATTTTTTCAAATAAAAACTATATATTCTATAAAAAATTTTAGATACTTAATCTTAAATATTTAATAATAATCAAATCAAAACGAGTAAAATATAAGTAGAATTTGTTATAGAATTAATAATATATATATATATATATATATAAATCTACAAGTTATAATTGAATTAGAAATAGATATAGAAATAATCACTTGAGAATGCAATTTTCCCTTTTATCAGATATAGTTAATAGTTTATCAAAAAAGATACAGTTAATAATAGCAGTTGATTTTTCGTTTGATGTTTGATAGGATTGAATCGGATCTATTCCGTCCAAACCCGATATTAAGATTATGAGCTTCATCTTCAACTTCCCTTGAATCTACCATAACATAGTGGTCTATTTACTTTATTTGTTTGCTGGAAATTTCGAGTATATGCCTCTGGTTCACGTGAAACGCTACGGTACTTTCTAACTGCTGTTCTTTCGCCCAGAACTGTCAGTCTGATTTGCGATTCCATTTTTGTTTTCTTTATTCTTTTTTTCGGTTCAGAGTTTAATTATATTTTATTGTTGCAATTAACTCCTGCATCGGTCATTCTCATCTGAATCTAACTTTCTTGCTGCGACATCTTCCGTAGCGTTGTTTCACCTTCTAAAGCTTGTTCTGGGCGCGGGACGCTTGTTAACTACGCACTTTTTGGTTTCTCCTTTTTTTCTTTGCTTCCCACTATGGGCTGAATTTTCTCCAAAACTTCGTCCTTGTTCTTTATTAGGCTCTTTCTGGAATCGTCTTGACTTAGCTTCCACTCTCTGCCGACTAACATGGATACGACGCAAAGCCTTTTCTCTGCTGCCGTTGAGAGTCAGGCTGCAGGAGGAGAGTCCCTTTTGGGTTCCATCAAAATCGCTGTGTTGCCCATAGCTAAAGTATTTACTATGTGTTTTCTGGGTTTCCTCATGGCTTCCAAGTTTGTTAATATTTTGCCTGCTAATGGAAGAAAGCTTCTGAATGGGGTAAGCACTTTTTTCCCTTTAATCATGGGGTAACTCCCTTTCTTTTCTGTGTTTGCTGACCGTTTCTGGGACCGTCTCATGCAGTTGGTTTTTTCACTATTGCTGCCCTGCTTAATATTTTCTCAACTTGGGCAAGCTGTTACGTTACAGAAAATGCTTGAATGGTAATTACTTTACTCTTGAGTCTTTCCTCTTTTCCTTGATTAGTATCTATACCGATTTGTGAAATTTACAGACTTTGGTTGTTCAGAATGCTTCTGTCATTTTTGCAGGTGGTTTATTCCTGCGAACGTTATTCTGGGTTCCATATCAGGCTCGCTGATTGGTCTAGTTGTGGCCTCAATTATCCGTCCTCCGTATCCTTTCTTCAAATTCACGATCATACAAATCGGAATTGGTAAGCCCTCTTAGAAGCGACCTTCATTTACAGTGACGCTTGTACTAGCTAGTCCTCAATAGGCCATCTCTCTGCTCTCCATCTGCAATTTTGTTGAAATTTTAAATTGCCGTCCTCTGATGGTGTGCATATTAGAGTCAAGAACATATGGATCTCAAATCCAAAACCTACAAGTCCTTTTTCCCGTTCCTTGCATTTATATTTCACTAGTACCCATTGCCCCCTGCGGTGTAACTGAACCTTTTGGAAACCTCCATCTTATGAAAAGGAAAAAAAGTTCAGGAAAGGAGTAAATTATCATGAATTAGTCTGAGGTTCATATTTAATCATACATGGTATATCGTCTTTATTTTTCAAACTTTATTCTCCATTATCTGGGATCAGCAATTGCTGCTAAACACGTAATTTAGGCACTTGACATAGCGTTCTGACTGTATTTTTCAAGCATGAGATATCAGAATGTCACACCCAAACTCCTGCTCGGTTACGCTGGTTTTGTGAACTTTGTGTTGATTTTTCACTAGTCATGTCATTTCAAAATTCTGAAACAGGGAACATTGGGAATGTGCCACTCGTCCTACTTTCTGCTTTATGTAGAGACCAAAACAATCCTTTTGGAGATCCAGAAAAATGTAGCACAGATGGGACAGCCTATATATCATTTGGCCAGTGGGTAGGTTTCAAATTTCTCTACATGACTAATTTCTCGCCTTAAGGCTTTTACTTGCAAATTTTTTAATTGAAAAGTGATTTTAAAAAAATTGGCTCTCTCAATAGTGCAAGCAAGTTTATATGTTTATACTAGTTCCTAAACCATGCTTCCAATAAAACAAAATTATACTAGTCAACAGGAATTACTCATTTTGATTTGTCTTAGGTTGGTGCTATCATCCTATACACATATGTATTTAATATGTTGGCGCCTCCTCCTGAAGGCACCTTCGACATTGATAATGAAAGTCTTCCCCTAAAGAGTGCTCCTAAAAGTGATGGCTCACCTGAACAAGATCCCTTGCTCACTGAGAAAGAGGCCGTTTCAATATATCCAAATGTTTCTAAAAGTCAGAAGGTGAGAATGGCTTGATACGCAGGCATTCATTTTTGTCTTGTGCATTTAATCTATTCTGCTTTTACATGATTGATGAAAGTAATTGGTGAAAATTAGATACTTTGTTTTCTGGAAAAGAGGAAGGGAAAGGGAAGAATATTTTGATGTTTCTATGGAAACAGTAATGTGAAAAGTTAGTTGTTTTAGTCGATTGTCCAGGTTGGACCAATAATATAAAGTCACTTGGCTGCAAATTCCATCCTGTGATAGAGTTGAAACTTACACAGATGTTTGCACAGCCTGTGGTTATGCAAGCCGTTCTTAAGAAAGAAAATAAATAGAAGTAAATTTTCTGCCACAAAAAAGTAATAATAATGTTGACGTAGTTGAAATGAAGGTAGAGGAAATTGGTGTCATTGTTGTAGGAGATTGAGCTGCTGGCTAAAGAGGCCGTTTCACCAATGAAAGCCATCAAAATAACGGAGTTGATCTCAACTATAGGCCAATTTAATATCATAAGGTTGAACCATAACAGTACTCATTAGAGGCCTCTATAACAATAAACAATATGCCAATTCAATCTCATAATTTGAACTTTCTGCTTGCAGAACACATGGTGAAGGACAGAAGACTATGGCAGTGTGAGAAAATTCTGTGATGTCAAAAAATTCTCTGTCCTCTTCCACCAATTCAATTCCATGCTACACTAAGTCCGACCTAGTGATCCCACTGCATGTCTTTCGTATTTTCATTGCAAGGGATCATATAATGCGGGGTTAAGGGACCCTTTCTTCCTTTTAATCATTTTTACATCCACTGTTCTGTTACTATTGGTGGTGGCCTTTGGATAGAGTTGTAGGTTATTAGGATGTTTCTCTATCCTTCTTTACTATTGTCATATTGTGTGCTTGCCCACTGTTTTTCTGTTTCTTGTTCTGAATACTATATTAGTCAACTAGTTACCTGAATGTTTAGTGCCTTCTGATGAATGTTTTTCTTTTAACGAAAGTAATTAATACTGTTTCATGCGATTTTCATAATTATCATCTCTAATTTATCTGGACACAAACCATCTGAGATGAGTTCATTAACTGAAGTCAATGAGCCCAGTTATTGAAGTCATTTCTTCTTATGCCTTCTGAATTTGACTTCGTCTTTCAATTTTATTTTTAAATGCATAAACATGGTATCAATTTATTTAATATGTTCCCAGGATAGGATGTTTTCAGTAACACCTTATTGTTGATGCAGGTCAAACATTTCTTTGCATTCGTGTGTGAGAGGTTGAAGCTTAAGCAAATTCTTCAGCCTCCTATTATTGCATCAGTAAGCTTCACACACTGAACTGCCTTCACCCCCTATTCTTTTTCTGTTTACGTGTGTGGCTGGAAGAATAATCTGTGCTTGTCTTGATTGGCTAATTCGATTTACCTAGATTGTCATTCTTTAAATATTTGCTAGACACTTTAGTAACAGAACTTTGTGCAGTGACGAATAGGGTAACCTGTGGGAAATAGGTATGCTGCTGCTATCCCATTTTAAAACTGATACAACCTGGTCATGTAGAAAGTTTAACAGACCTACATATGCTCAGCTTCTTTTCTGCATTCTGCATCACTATATCGGCAGTAGTATTGCTTCATCTTCCGACACATGAGGTTGTAAACTCAAGTTTGTTGTGTTCTAGAACTAATTTACTGGAATGATATATGTTGCAGATTCTAGCTATGGGACTTGGTGCAGTCCCACTCTTCAAACGATTGATCTTTACATCTGATGCTCCTCTGTTCTTCTTCACTGACAGTTGCATGATTCTAGGGTATGCTTATTTAATTTGCTATGAAGTGAAATCTGAACATTCCATTGGCGGAGCTATGAAAATTTAGACTATCATATTGCAATAAGAACAACTTGTTCACATAAAAAATGTTATTACATTCACATTGACATTTTTTTAATACCCCAGCAGTTAAAGTCTTTAATAATAAAAGTCTTGATGACAATCAGGAATGCTTATTTGGAAAGTTTGAGCTACATGGTGAGACCTAAAACAAAAATACGTGCCGTGGCCCATCGTTTTATGTAGTTGTTCATCTTTTGACTTGTAACATCGAAATTCAATTCACGACCATACAATAACTTCCACTACTTGGAATATAAATTGTATAAAGGATTGATCGTCTAATTTTCTTATGAAAATTCCAATCTCAGTTATAAAGCAATTAATAAATTTAATATGTATGCGTTATATATGGAGCCTGGTCAAGCTAGTATGGGTCTATAATCTATGCTACTGATCAAAAAGGATATTTTTTTCAACTACAAGTATATGTTTGTAACTATAGGTATTCTATTAGAACTATTATTGTTGATATTGTTTAATAACGCCGTTTATTATCAGGGAGGCCATGATTCCTTGCATTCTGTTGGCATTAGGAGGCAACCTTGTTGATGGTAAACTCATGTCTTGGCAGTCTCGTTCTTTATAATATATTTTCGCTGATATTGTTTCTCAAGTCAACTCTTTTTGACTGAAACTCTTAATGATTGTTGATTGTATATCTGTAGGACCTGGAAGTTCAAAACTTGGTTATCGGACAACTGTTGCTATTATTGTGGGGCGGTTAGTGTTGGTACCTCCTGCCGGTATTGGCATTGTCATGTTGGCAGACAAGCTTGGTTTCCTGCCCCCTGGTGATAAGATGTTTCGATTTGTTCTTCTCCTGCAGCATTCCATGCCCACATCTGTTCTTGCTGGTAATTCTTAGCTCTCACTGTTAAGACATTTCTGAACACAATTTTGGCGTTAAAATTTCCAAGTGTGTTATTGTATTATAGGGATAATATAACATAGTTCCTGAACTTTCTCTCAATTATCAATGTAGTCTCTGAATTTTGACTCAACACAAATCAATCTTCATAGTTTATTGAGTTAAGGAATTATAGAACTGAGTTGTACATAAGAATTGAATTGTTCTAAGTCAAGACACTTCAAGAACTAAATTGTTCCAAATCAAAGTTTAGGGTCTGAGTTGATAATTGAAGCAAAGTTTAAGGATAAAAAGTTACATTTTCCCTATATTATATCAGACTCATAACTTGTGCTTGGGTTGGAGATTGTTTCTGCTATGACCTCTTGGTTGCTAGTTGCTTCCGATGCATATAATGAATATTGGTTTTTCATTTTGGCCAAAAAAGAATATTGGTTTTTCATGCCCGAATCCTTTACTTGTTTCCAGGTGCTGTTGCTAATTTAAGAGGTTGTGGGAGGGAAGCAGCTGCTATACTCTTCTGGGTTCATGTTTTTGCTGTCTTCTCGATGGCTGGATGGATTATTTTGTATCTAAGCATTCTTTTCTAAGGCGGCAGTAGTGAACTTGGTTTCAAAATTGTTTTGGTGTATATGTAGGTTAGTGGGGATTCACGATCACTGGCTACTCCTAATTAATGTGAATTTGAGTCTTAAGCATGTTCTTCAGGAGAGCCAGCAAAATATTATTTAACGCCCCCTTCCAAGAAAAGTTGAAGAAAGGGATTTCAGAATAATTTTCTAATTTCATGAGATTTTTTTACGTTTAGATTTATCGTGTGAGATTTAAGAGTGATTTTCTCTATAGAAAATATTGAGCAATGGAACTGTAATAAGTGATGATAGAAATAACAATCAAGTCATCTTAATTAATGAAGGATTTCTCACACTCACAAAGTTTGAACCCCCAACAATCCCCTTGAGTCCAGTGTATGCACAACTTGAAAAGTATTTTATGACTATTTTATGACTTCTTAATTAGGATATTGATATTGACATTAACATTATTCAATTCATATTATTTTGCGTGTGTGTGTGAAGAGGATCTAGCTCTCTTTCGCTGGTTTTTTAATTGATGGCATGTAAGAAAAATCTAATAAACCAACATTTTGACAAGTAATATTCTACTGAATTATTTGCCAATTCATTATTGATAAAAAAAAAAAAAACATATGAAAGTGAGCCTAGAGATTCTTCAACTTTTAATTGTTGACATTGAGATTAGGACTACAGAAAGGATTGATCGGATAAGACTTTGGCCTAATCTGAGGTCTGAGTTAAGCAACCCGTGATCTGATCTGGTCCTAGTATAACCTGAAGTCAAACAGGACCGAACTAGTCTAGTGGGATTAAAAGACTAGTTCTGGTTTTATCCAGTATTTTACTTTTTTTTTATCTACAAAAGGTAGCAATTTATTTTAACATAATAAACTAAATTAGCATAATAAAATTATTTATAGTCATATAAAATTTATCACAACAACAGCAATTATAAACAATCTCTAATAATAAGGAATAGTATCTTAGTTACAATACAAATAATTATGAAACAACTTTCAACAATGTTAAACAACCTCTAATATGTCTAAAGTTCATTACACTAAGTTAACAACAAATTTCATCAATAAAAGGAAAAGAATGAGGTTGGTCAATGTTGAAATTTTGCTCTATATTCATGACTTCACAAGTGTAAAGCACAAAAAATTACTAATTATTATAATAAATTAACTTACTATAATAATAATTAATAAATTAATTATAATTTTATTAAATAAATTTATAGGATTGGACCAGACCAAGTGGTCCAAATGCTCGATCTCTTGTCCAATCCAACCTGAAGAAAGAGTCTTGTCTTTTCAGTTTTTTGGTCTTGAAAGACCAAATTTTATCTGGACTAAATAGGACTAGGTTTGTCTTAAGTTGAATTAGATTGAACTGGATTGAAGGGCTTTTGCACAGTCTTAATTGAGATCTAGGTGGAAAATGATAATGAATAATTAGTACAAGACAGGTGTGCCTGCTGTGGTGAAATTAAAATTATGAATGCGCGCGCGCAAGAATCTCTGCTTTACATCGGTTAAAAGAATGAATTAATACATTGAAGAGATTAGCTGTCAATAATGAAAGAATCTTTGCTTTGCTTCGCAGGAAGAATTTCCAGCGTTTGAGTTGTTGGCGAACACACTTAATTTGTACGAGAAAATCAGAACAAACACATTCACATGTCAATAAATAATACATACAGATCATGCTGACTTGTATGTTCTAAACTTCAACTAAAATTAACTTGAAGATTTTACTTTTAACTCTATGAATTTCTATTATTATGAAATGATCAGACTCTTACACGGGAACGATGGCTAAATGAATTGTGCAAGAGACTAATTACTCCCAAAGCTCTTTTTGCAAACTTAGGGACTTAGATTGTGCAGGCTAATACATTATTCAAACCATATATACAAGGTGATCAATTTGAACAAGTTTCACATTCATAATCACAAGTTTGTATGAAATCTCTCAAGCCTTCTCTTTTCCAAGAAGCCATGCTCATCTCTGGTCAAAGCTTCACTCATAGGAAAAAAATCATTGCCAAATTCGATATTTTACTATAATATTTGTCCATATACATAATAAGGGTTGTTATATGCAAAACTTACATATACTACAACTTTTTTGTTAATACACAAAATAACTTGGAATACATTTTTCTTGGTCATTTTACGTAATTTCTAGATCCTTGTATGTAATTTTTAGATTAGGTCCCTTAATTTATTTTTTTTCCTTTTTATAATTTTTAAGGTCTTTTTCTATCATTTTTTTGATCAACTAACAATCAAATTTAACTTTTGCTAATAGTATGGGTTTGATTGCACAATTTTTAAAAGTTGAAGGAGAATATTACACTAACAAAGATTGTAGGATTCTAAATACTCTTAGATCTACAGTTTAATTTTCTTTTTTAACCCAAATATATATAAAAATATTTAAACAACATACAAAATCTGTGTGTTTTTATTTTATAAACCTCTACATGTAAAATTTAACTTAGGAAGAATCGCACCTAGGGCCCTCAAGAGAGAAAAATTGCACCTAGGGCACAAGATAATCTGAATGTTTTTGAAAGCCTAAGGGCCCTATGTGAAAATATGCTTTAACAGGAAATGATTCATTTACCCCTCCCAAAATCAATGAATCTTCCACGATCTATTTTAATAGCAGAGAAAATATGTTTTCTTGGATTTTTAGGATTTTTAGGAACTAATACAAAAGATGTAAAAATCAGAACTTGCTATCACTGATTTGTGAATATCTAAAGTTGAAAATTATAAACTTCAAATTGTGAATAGATAGATCTATACTTCTGAATATTTGAACATTTAGTTGTAAATTTTTGAACTTTTGAAACATGTCAACTCTAAACTTTTTCTTATCAAAATATGGACTTTTATTTGTAAATGTTTAAACTTATACTTGTGAATATTATTTCACTTGTACATTTATGAACTTTGCTTATTTGTACAAGGATATAAAATGATTCTTCAAGTGTGACATTTTATGCTGGCTAGTGAAACATCCCAAAAATGTCAAAGTTTAAAGTGTCTTTGCACTCACAATAGGAACCAAAGGAAAATAAAAATAATAGGGAGGATGGCTTTTACATCTCACTGTATAGTAGTATTCACTGGAATCTCAACTTCTGATCTTCTGATAGTCAAAGATTGGATTATTTGTCATGAAAACATGAACATTATCTTGTTAATATTGGATATTTAGTTGTAAATTCAATTGTAAATTATCTAGATATGATGTATATGTTCTTGAAAATTTAATGAAAACATATTGTTAATATAAAAGGACATTGTGCAGATGTTCAAGTATGCCATTTAGTAGGATCTTGTATTATTAATATATAAAATTTGTCATGTTATTTATAAATGTTCAACTTGACCACACAAATCATGTAAAATAAATATATATTATATTGTTAATAAATTGACCTTATCATGTTATACACGGACCATATGGTTAAGTTGAACATTACAAAAAAAATATGACAAGTTCTATATGTTAACAATACAAGATCCTACTATATGGTACACTTGAACATATACGTAACATCCTTTTATATTAACAATATGTTTTCATTGATTTTTCAAGAGTATATATATCATATCTAGATAATTTTTAACTGAATATCCAATATTAATAAGATAATGTTCATGTTTCCACAATACATAATCCAATCTTTGACTATTAGAAGATCATAAGCTAAGGTTCCCATGAATGCTGCTGTATAGTGAGATGAAGAAGCCATCATCCCTATTATTTTTATTTTCGTTTGGTTCCTGTTGTGAGTACAAGGGCACTTTGATCTTTGACATTATTAGGATGCTTTACTAGCTAATATAAAATGTCACACCTGAACCATTTTATACTCTTACACAGGTGAGCAAAGTTAAATTATGTACAAGTAAAAGTCCTAATATTCACAAGTATAAATTCAAATATTTACAAGTAAAAGTCCATATCTTAATAAACAAAGATTCAAGGTTGACATGTTTTCAAAGTTCACAAATTTACAGCTAAACTTCTAAATAGTCATAGGTATAGATCAATCTATTCACAATTCGAAGTGCAAGATTTCTGACTTTATATATTCACAAATCAATTATAGTAATTTTGAATTTTATAGCTTTTATAGCAGTCCTTAAAAATCTCGTTGTAGTTCCTAAAAATCCTAGAAAACCCTAGAAGACAACAAATAGATCTAAGAGAAAACTTACATGAATACTTGAGTTCTAGAAGTTCGATGTTAAAGAGCTCACCGGTGCTCATCTAAACACAATGGCTATTAATATAGGAAGAATGATCTACAGAAGTTATTCGGGGATGACAGTGGAGGCAATGAGGTCAAGATGTGAAAAATCTAATTCTTTTATATTGGCTCACCGTAAAAAGGGATGATGGATCGAAAAGATGGAAGACAGAAGGGAAGAATTAGGGAATTGCAATGCAATACTGTGAGGAGGAAGAAGATGAAGAGGAAGAGAGAGAAGAAAGAGAGAGGAAGAAGAAAGGAGGAAAAAAAATATCATATCATGAAAGATTGATTGGTTTTGGAAGGGGCAAATGAATATTTTTTATCACTAAAATATATTTTCATTTAGGACCCTCAAACTTTCAAAAACATTTCAGATTACATTGGGTCATTAGTGTAATTTTTTTTTCTCTTGAGAACCCTAGGTGCAATCAAACACATCATGAAAATTTATTCGAAACAACAACTCACATGAACTTTATCCAAAGTCATGTCCAATTCATAATTTTTACATCAACTTTTGTATGTGTCAGAGACTCATAGTAGTACGACGTCAACCCTGTAACCCACTCACACCAACCTGACCCACCTTTTATTACTTGTTTCTTTCTTTCTATATAAAACTTATATTTAGTAAGTCCTAAATTTAATTAAACATGATGATAATTAAATTTTATTTTTTTATATAAATATGAATTAGATTCAAGTATTATAGTGTTTAATTAAGAATAATTCTTTCAATAGATTTCAGAATCTCATACTTAAACCATCATGGTCCCTTCCATCAAAACAATTATGAATCTTGTTCTGCTGACTGCTAAATTGTCAAAACATTTTATGAGGTTTAATTGAATTGTGAGGACCCAACATGGTTGTTAAAATCGCAATTTGAATTGTTGGAATCACTGACTTTACATTTTCAGATGACTCTATCTACTTAACTCGTGTGTAGACACGCTACTCTTCTCCACTCGCTCAAAATTGCGGGTCAGTTCACTGAAATTGGTTTAATCGTAGTTACTCGATGTTTCAAGACGAGTTGGATTTTGGAAGCACCAGTCTCCAGAAGTCAGACCCCACTTCTTTATTTTAAATTTATTAAAAATTTATTTAGTGAAAATTTATTTAATAAAAATTAATTTAATGAAAATCAATTGTTGTAATAAAATATGCATTTAAATAATTTTTTTAAAAGTCAGTTTGGTACACTAAAATTTTTGCTTTTAAATATACAATTACCAAAATAAACATTAATTTATGATGATTTATAATTTTTATTATACAAATATAATATATTTAAAAATGTAATAAAAATTTTAAATAACATAAAATTTGATCTATAATACTAAAAACTTGATCTCTAGTTATTTATACTTTTTTAATTTGTAATTTTAAAAAATATAATAAAGATTTATAATTTTTATTATACATTAATGCTAAAAATTAACATAATTAATTATTCAATTTATAATGATAAAAACTTGATACCTAATTATTATTATTGAAATAATAATTATATTTTAATAAATTAATTATTTTTTAAATAAAAGAATAAGAAATTAAAATTTAAATAATATGATAAAATAATATCCTACTTTTTAAATTCACTTTTAAAAAATTTTAAATAGTTATATTTCTCAAATTCACTCTCAACCATTATTTAAATGTACTTTTAATATGTGATTTTTTATAAAATATTTTATTTAAATAACTTTCAACATCATAAAAATAAAATTGTGCTTTCTGAGTGAAATGCAAACAAACCAAATAAACACTTAAAAGGTTTCTAAACCCAACCCCCCCCCCCCCCCCCCCCCAAAAACCCCAAAACACGAATGCTTCTTATTTTAACGGCAGTAAGTTTAACATATATACTCCTTTAATACATAATGTGCAGCCAAAAAATATGTTAAAAAATATATTTCGTCAATAAATTAAAATTTTAACATGACATGAAATAAAAAACACATCTTTTTTTGAAAATGATATTAATGTTATTTATGTATAAATTATATTATTTTTTCCATGTTGTGAACGGTTAATAATTCAAGCAAAAGCACAATCAGTGCAATAATATAATTAAAAAAGCTATCACTAATTATTTACTATTTTTTCAAAGAAATTTGTAAATTAGTTTCTATTATTTGTATAATTGCTTTTCTTAACATATTATGATTATTTTAGCTCAAACAAACAACGAGGCTTTCTGATTAATTATTAAATAATAACAACATTTTAAAAATATTTTTATAAGAATATTTTAATTGTTTATTAATATGTTAGCCTTTATTCATTATCAAGGTAAACAAATGATCATTATTTCTTACCAGAAATTTTAATGTATATAAACACACGTCTTCATAATTTATTAGTAATAGATAAATTCTTATGATTTTACGTTTATGATACGAATTCACCCTAACTTAACGAGTTTATTTGGAGTCACGATTTTGACAATATTGGAACTCAAGGCAGTTCTTTATTATTATTATTTTTCTTTTCCTCTCATTTATTCTTTTTTTGGGGCCCACATGCCTCTCTCCCTCTATGTCTGGCTCTTGCGTGTTTTTCTTCTGTTATATTATTATATTTTACGCTTTGGATTTGGATTTTTCTTACTCGTAACAACGGAAAATAGAGTTCGTTAGCAGTTGAATCTCTCTCTCCTTTCTCTTCTCCTTCCTTCTCCCGTCGTCTTCTTCGTCGACGTCGTCGCCGCCGGCGGTGGCTGTTCCGCCATACAACTTTCAATAATACAATGGCTTACCGGAGGAGGCAGGGAATCTCCAGAAATTCCACCTTCAAAGAAGAATTTCATCCTTCCCCTAACGATCCCGTTGCCAATTCTTCTCCTCTCTTGACTCCTTCTTATTCTTTTTCTCCCTCTTCCTCTTCCCCTTCCTCTCTTGCAGCTCAGGCCATCAAAGCCTCCGCCTCTCGCCGCGATCCCGCTCTTTCCTTCGCGTACTCCGACTCCGCTTTTGCCTCCGATCATATCAGATCCAAGGTTCGTTTTGTTTCATTTTCGCCCTTCTTCTTTGTAAATGATCGGATTAGGTTATTCCTAATTCTTCTGTGTGTGTGTGTGTTGTTTTTTTTTTTTTTTGCTATTTTCGATTCCTCTGCGGAAATGCAGGGCTATGATGCAAATGATGATGCCTCAGGCAGGGGCGACTCCAAGTCAGGATTCTGGGGAACGCTTGCGCAGAAAGCCAAATCTATTCTTGATGAAGATAATTTAACCTCACAAAATGAAATGCGCGACAGACTTAGATCGCAGTCATTTCATACCTCTAATGGTGGCCAGGTGATTGATTATGCCTTGTACGTTTTCTACGATAATGCGGATTCTCTTTTTCTCAGCTGCTTCCTCTTCTTTCACGTGCATTCTTTTATACATTTACAAATTATATATGTATGTATCATAATGTTGATCCCTCAAAATATATGTTTTTGAAAATGGAGCAGAGAAATCGGGTTACTTGTTTTACTCAGGGCACGTATCACAAAACTTGGTTTTCTTGTATTTTGATTTTGAACCTTGTTTACTCAATTGTTAGATTCAATTTTTTAGTTTCTTTGACATGGATTCCCCTTCGTCAACAGTTCAACCTCAAACAATCATATCATTCACCCGAGGGTCTTCTGAAAATGGATAATCCTAGACTACGGAAGGGCTTGGATGCTATTACCACTTCCCTCAATCACCTAGGAGACACCTTTGAGAAAGCTTTTGAGGTATCTGTTCTTATTCCATTGAATTTAAGGTTCTACGATGTCAAAATTTTATTTATTATCAGCTCGAGAGATGACTGCATCATCGTCATTAGAATCTGTGATTTTCTTTTTATCAGTTATCACTTAATTGCTTACTCAAATGAGAGTTATGCTTTATATATATGTATATCGGTTTCTCCTATGTTTCTCAGGAAGGTCGGACGATTGTGGAAACCAAGACTGCAGACCTGAGGACTCAAATAAGGCGAAAAGGGGGCAACCCTGGGGACCCAAATCAAGCTTCGGATGTGATCAGCAGCGCATTGAAGCAACCACCCCCAACAGAGAATCTAACAGACCATGAAACACAACTCAAGGCATCCCGCGACGTAAGGTGGCAACTAAGTAATTGCGGTTCATGCATTGAATCCATGGGGGGTCATATGGCTGCAGTTCCTAATATAAAATTTAAGTTAACGGCAAAGTTGTTAGTTTAATGTCGTTTAATCACCTTAATCTTTTAATTAGTCCTTACTTCACCACACATTGGCATGAGGCTTTAATTTACTTAAGTTTAGCGGAAAGGTGTTTATATTGCGTCTTGAGCAAGACCGTCTTGCTTATATGATCCCATATTCATTGTGAGGAAACATTCTCATTATTGATTCACATGTGGCAAAATTATTTTTTTACTTAATGAATTATTAACTTTTCTGGTGTTCCGATGCTTTTTTACTATGTCAGAATCAGTTACTTAGATTCATATGAGTTGACCGGCATAATTTCCCTTTTCTTCGGGCGCAGGTGGCGATGGCAACAGCGGCCAAGGCAAAATTACTTCTTCGTGAGCTAAAAACTGTTAAAGCAGATTTAGCATTTGCCAAAGCACGTTGTGCTCAACTTGAAGAAGAAAATAAGTTACTCCGGGACAGGGAGGGTCGTGAAAAGGGACACGACCGCGCAGATGATGAGCTGGTATTTGCTTCGATTTTTTTTCCCCCTGGCTGTTGTGTTTCATTTACCTTATTTCTGTGCTGTTCGCGTTATATGAACCTTGAAACTGTTAGCTACCTGCAAGTATATGAACCTTGCGTTGTTCATTGGATGAGACAGAGTGAAACAAGCTTAAAGTAATTAGATGATTGATGACAGATACGGGAACAACTTGAGACACTTCTGGCTGAGAAGGCTCGTTTGGCCAATGAGAACGAGACATATGCCCGAGAAAACCGATTCCTTAGGGAAATAGTGGAATACCACCAGCTGACAATGCAGGATGTGGTGTACGTAGATGAAGGCATGGAAGAAGTGACTGAAGTTTTCCCAATCAACAGCGATGGAATCCATCGAGTGTTGTCCCTCTCATCACTCTCCTCAATGGCAGAGGCAAGTGCACCAGCCACGAAGGAAATAGTACCTGTGCATCCAGAGAAAATGAACACGTCAGGGGCTGACACTGAGGCTCCTCCTAGGCATCTCAGTATCTGAATTTGACATGGCCCACCTAATTGATTCCCTTTATAACTTAGACGTGGTTGGTTGTGGAAGATATGTGATGGAGGGTGTTTTGGGAGAGTGCTTGAGATTACATATTTGTTATTCTTTTTTGTATGTATCTTTTCCCTCCATGAGGGTTGGGTCGATTTTGTCGATATCTTTGTTTTGTATTTTTTATTTTTTGCCCAAAGCTTGTCTGCTCAGCTGATGCGTGTCACAGAAAGTTTTTGGAATTTGAATCACTCATGTAAGATAAACTTCCATTAAGAGAGTGAAGTTGAAGCTTGTATTTCATCTCTCGAATTCCTCGTTGTATTTTGGTTTAGTTTTGGCCTCCACACTGGGATACACACAAACACACACGTGTGTTTTACAGCTATGCAAATTCATTAAGCTATACAAGGCCATTTTTTGCTGCTTGACATCACAAGAGAAGGAAGAACAAAGGTTCCACAATTACCAACACGTGTTTGTCTTTTAAAAAGAAAAGACTAGGACCACTTAAAACACAAGATCTTAAATTTGAGATTGTAAATGTAAAAAATGTTTTTGAAAGAACTACTTCTAAGTAAACCCGACAATGTTAAAATTTAACACAATCAAATAGTCATATGAAAATAAAAATAAAAATAAAAAACGAGAGTGCAACGGTTGTCAAAAGCAGCAATTTCTATCAAGATTTTCTTTTGGCCTAAATTTCTGTAAAGAAATATGTTATATTAACCACACGATACAATATAGGTGACTGAAAGGTATACTCTCAATCCCCACGAATGTACATTTGATTAATTGTCCAATTAGCTTCCTCTTCTAGCTTACACTTACGGTGCCTGTTTAGATACACTTGAACCTTTTACTGATACACTATATGAACAGATGACCAGTTTGATTCTGCTTGGTGAAATGATATTTTCATGGAGCCTCCAGCGAGTGTTGCCTCTGCTGATGTATGGATCATGTCTGCTATCAGCTTTGGAAAACTTGCAACCTTGCATTACTTGAATTTCAGAATAACTGGAAAAACAAACTAGTAGAGCCATCCCCAAATGATTTCAGATCTGCAGGTTTTACCAATGCCCTGCACAAGGGGCAGGTCCTTTCCCTCTCAAACCTGCCAAAATAAGATCATCAGGAGTCACCATGAAACATGCACCAGCAGACAACGAATAGGAAGCAAATAAGCACACTTGAACTTGATTAACACGAGGTATCAGATTAGGGAAAATTTTCTCAAATACAAAGACTATTCAATTATCAAAAATAATTTATCCTCTCATGTATATCAGTTTTATATTACGAAAACCAGCTGGATGGTCAAGCAAATGTGAACAACATCTCAAGCAGCAATATCATCTATTAGTGGACTCGAGTAGCAAATTCAGGTCAAGCAAATAGTAATTCCACATAAAACGGGGAAGAATCGTAGACAAGGAAAACAGAAGATAAAGCATCACCATTCTGATACACATTCTTCGCAGAAGATGTGATTGCAAGAAAGTAAGATTGGGGTATGCATCTTTTCCTGGCAAATAGCACAAAGATCACCAACAACATTCACCTGCATGCATCAGATGGACAACTTAAAATACATGTACGTACAATTTGATGAAGCCAGTAATCATTCGTCAGATTGGGAATCCTGATGACAGAGATAGCATAATGCAAAATAAAATATTTCTAAAGTTTAGATCATTCAGTGTAGACAAAACAGATCAACATATCCTTGAGATATTGGCAAATTCAGATGATCACCTGTTCAGATGTTGCATGAGCCCCATAGTGCACTTCTTTACACGACAATGCCTTCACTGCAGCAAAGAAGGATTGCACCTGACAACCAGCAAATACACAAGAAAAGAGTATTGGGGCAGAATATAATAACTAAGAGAAATGCAACCCACAGATAGCAATAAACTACCAAAAAAAGGCCCTTCATTTTATTTCATTTCTAGGATGAAAGGAGAATGAATCAGAAGGAAAGCAGAATACAAAGGGAATCAAAAGCACTCTCAAGATTCTTGTTTATTTGAAAGAAGCATCTATTAAGAATGAATTAAAAAGGAAAACAATTTTAACAAAGATAAAAGGGAGAATAATTCAATAGGTCAAAGAAGCCAACTTTAACGCTCAGGGAGAAATGAAGCAAAGAAGTTACTTTTCACAAGAACCACCAAAAAAGAAAAAGAAAAGTGAATCTACAACACATTTTAAAGGACTAAAGCACCTTTTCGATGACTGATGTCAGCTTGAATGTTAGATATAATCCTGTCATCAATGAAGAAAAGAAACTTCCATATTCTTTGTTCAAGAAGAACCGATACCATACTGGAGTTGGCAACAAGGCACGGTAAAGAAGTAGTAGGTACTCAACCAAAGTCAGCATTTGACCCTGTTGCAATATTAGTCAGAATTTGATAACATGAAAAAATGTAAAGAAGATTCTGATTTCTGAATCAAGACTCCTGAAATGTTACAACAGATATTGGGAATGCTGGTTGCAAAGTTAAAGACTAAAGAATCCATTTTTAGAAGTTCCAGTCACCTAGACCTTGAAGCGAATTATAAAAAGCTGAATTGAATTGGTTCTAGTACTTCATATTTTATTACCTCACCTGCTTACGATAATTTCTGCCTCTGCCATTCTTGTAATACATCAACAAGATACACTTGAATACCATTCCTGCCTGGCGTACCAAAGCATCTGACGTTTGTAAGACAGAGTAGGAAGGCAATTAGAAGGAAAAAGATCTCCCAAAAAAAAAAATTCAAGAAAAAAGAGCTGCGTCGTCAGCAACTAGTTAGAATTTACACCACCATGAATAGCTCCATACCATTTGCAACAGTAAATAAACAATTACAGGGTAAATATGCACTGTATCTTTTTTTATCAAGTAAATTGTATGTTGAATGTTTGACAAACTAAATAAAAATGCATGAAAAAGAAGCATTGGTCAGTGGTCATTAGTAATTATACATGAAAGTGGAGTACAGGCTATTCTGACTGTTAAAATATTCTTGCCGTTAATGTAGGACGCTATTCTTCAAGAGAAAAAGCATTTTGAATGCTAAAAAAAAAATTTAAATAATTGAAATTAAAAATCACCAAAAAGGAATACTAAAATCTGTTATAGTTTTATAAAATGTTATAGGCTTCACACTCTCAAACTCTCCCAACGGCTAATCACAGCAACTGTTAGCCATTATTCAAATCTAAACTAACATTTTATAAAACTATAACAAAATCACCAACAAGGCAGACTTTAAACTAAGAAATAAATATGTAGAAAAATCATTTTTTACATATAACTGCAGAAACTCAATTGTAATTCAGAGACGAAAACAGCTTATGACAAGCATTTCCCACAACAGAAGGTAAAACCACAATGCTAAACTGTCAGAAACTTTGCCAGAAAAATTTAGGAAGAGACGCACCATTCACTGTGATGATGAAAATAACATGCCAGAATGGAGGTATGACTTTAGGAGGAAGCATAGCCAACGGATATAGCATATCATTATTCTGACACCACCAATATACACCAACCACGTGCAATGTAAATGCAATAGAAATAGCAGTCAATACAGGGACTTTCCTCTCTCCCTGCAGTAGCCAATAACAGGCACACTTAATAAACAAGAAAAACTTCAATTGACAACAAAGGATCGTTCCACAGGCCACTGGGGAAAAACTGCAAATGCATGAACTTCCAAACCTTAAGAGCTGTCTGCTTCCTCAAAATATCATTTGATTTGAAAAGGACAGCAGTAACCCAAATTGTAACAAAAAACCCTGCAACATTTGAACATAATATGTGACAGAATGAACTGTTATGCCATTAAACACAAAACATATATTGCGTATATTTTATTATTTTGGCAGAGTATGATAGCTCATAAAGAAAAATGAATTAAGTATTCTCAATACCTTTCCAATAGTTTGATTTGACAGAAGCAATATACGGAGAGGGAACTATAAGGTACAGTTACAAAGAAAAATTTAGCATAATAACTTAATAAGTGGTAAGACCAAGTGTCTGAGAGTCAAAGGAAACATAAGATTCAGTGAGTTGATTGAAATTGACTACCACACTTGGAAACCTAATGCCCCGTTTGGTATAGAGAAGTGGTTTTAATGAAAGTGGAAGAGAAAATAAAAGTGAAAATGGAAGTAGGCTTTAAAAATATGTTTGGCATGTAGATGGAAATGGGATAAAAATTTTATTTAATAAATATATTTATATATTGCAAAGACCAAAATACCCCTAGTTGTTTTATTTGTTTTAAAAGGTCCATCTTCTTCATCTCATTGAACCTTTTTCCCACCGCCAATCTGAAAAGACCAGGGAAGGAAAACCTTTGTGAGAGAAAGGCTTGGTTGTGGGGTTGAGTCGGTTTTCGAAGAGGAGGAGACATGGGTGTGGGGATTGTGGAGAGAGATTAGGTAATGAACAAGGAGTGGTTTTGAAACAGGGCTTGAGAAAGTATCCATTGTTTGGGGCGGGGGATTTTGGGGTTTGGATTACTGTGGAATAAGTGGAGGCATGGCTGCAAGCCATTTTTGAAATAGATCTGATTTAAAATATAAACACTTCTAACCCATAGCCATCACAGCATCAGACCCATAAAATGAAGAGGAGACAGATCTGGTTTTCATGCCATCCCAAGGTCACTGTTGTCCTCTTCATCATGCTTGGCTTCAATGGGAGTAAGGAAAGCTCCAAGCAAGTTGAAAGTGGAAGTGAAGGAAAAGGAGGAAGATAGGGAGAGGAAGGAAGGAAGGAGATGACGGCATGAGAAGAAGGGGAAGAAGATGAAGCATGAAAAGTTGGTCATTGGCAGGAGTGGAAGGAGGTCGGAGATGATGTTGGTCAAGAAAAAGGAAGGGAGGTCGATGGTTGAAGCTTGTCAGTGGGTCGAAGGAATAAAGGGACAAAAGTGTCTGAAATTTCATAAATAATGGCACAATATTCATTTTACCCTCAATTCCATGAGTTAAGCCGGTTCCACCCTCCCCCACGCACTTCCATCAATTTTGATGGAAGTCACCTCCATAGAGAGTAGAGAAACCACTTCTACGCTACTAAACACATCAAAATTTCAGTTACACTCCCATTTCTCTCCCTCCAATTCCATTGTACCAAACAGGCCATCATGGTTTTCTTTTCTTCTATTTTTCAAGGAAAGGGGCACTGCAAGCCTAATTACCTAATTAGAACTTCCTTCAAATTAGCCATCCTCACCTTGCAAGAGGATATAGCCGCTGATTTTATACTTCGTTATTATACAATACAATTATCAGGGACAAATACTCTGAAATTTCAATTCAATGAACCAGCCCAACGAAATCATCTTACTTCATTTCTCTCACCATCTGAAATTATTAGTTCATATGATAACAGGATCAATGAACTACTTGACAAGTAACAGCCCTCACTTCCATCAAACTTTTTCGTATGAAAATATTAAAGTAGTTAGCCCATCGAAAAGAACAGTACGCCACCTAAGGTTGGGAGACAGTGATCCAAATACTAAATATAAACCTTTTCCGTCGTCATTCACTGGAATTTTAATATGGCAGGGTCTATAGAAATAGAAGCTAGCAACACTTCCAGCACCAAGCAAAACGAAGGGCCCATAGTAGCAAAATGAAGCTAAGAATTGAAAATGTACCTTGAAGGTGCTGCCGAATGAAGACAACCAGCAACAGTAAGGAAAAGGGCAGGATCTGTTCAATCCAGCGAGCAGCCTGCTGAATATCATACCTCTGTGAGGAAGAATCCCTATCGTTAGCACCAACTCCATCACCAGCCTCTGCATCAGAATTCGCATTCACGGATTGGGAAACGCCCTCTCCAGCATCATGATCAGTCCTAGAATGTTCCTGATTGCCCGAAGCAGGGGTAAGCGTCGTAGAGGGCATCCCAGCCAAGGGTTGCGCCGATATCGATACATCATTCCGAGACAGAACTTCCCTCACTTCGCCTTCCCTGTCAAGGCGCTGATCCCCAGCCCCTATAATACTAATCGACACCTCACCATCATTAGTAATGACGGAGGACTCGTCAAGGCGACTCCGGAGAGCATCACGGAGTCCAGAAGACAGTCGATTGTTGTTGATTAAAGGTTCAGTCTCTTGCTGATTAGACCTGCTTCGCAGAATCCCTAAATGCTCCAACAAGAGCGATAACGGAGCCTGAAGAATGTTAGAAGCGGATGGGATACCGTAGCGATTGGAGATGGAAGTCACCGGAGGAGTGACGGGGTCGGAGGAAGCTTCCATGCGCGTGATTGCCCTAACCCTAATCATCAAACGAAGGAATTCCGAGCAAGAATGACATTAATAAGAATTTGAACCAAGAGACTGGGGATGGAGGGCGTTTTGGTGAATGGTGAGTGCCTGAGAATAATATATTTTAGTCATTCTGCGTTTTTCTACGTTTCTATTCCATCAGGGTTGGCTTCATTTGACATTTTGTCAATATTTTTTTTTTTTTCGCTTTTTAGCCCAGGCTCCGTTCAGCTGATCCGAGTCAAAGAAAGTTGAATTGTTTGTTCCTTTGAGGTCTTATGGTGTTTGAATTCAAATTAATCATATTTGTCAGCTTCAGATGTCAAATGGTTATATCAAAAGAAAAAGAAAAAAAGCATCGGTGCCAAAAATTTCAATATCATTTAGATAACATTTATATTGGTAGATTTGAATTTGAGATTCAAAATATCACATTTATATTTATATTTAAAATTCAAAAATTTAAAATCTTTTATCTAAATAATTTAAAAAATGTTAAAGAAAAAAGAAAGACAAGTTAAGATTCAAAAGAAAGACAAAAAAAATATAAAATTAATTAGTTTATATTTATTTTTTCATTAGAGAAGCGACAAAACCGAGATGTGCGATAATATGTAAAAGTGAGAGTAATCAACAATGAAAATTTTAAAAAGAACGAGATTTTTGAAATAATTAAAACATTGTAACATTTCAAATTTTAGATTGAGGCTGAATACTTGTAAGTATAGGTAAAAAGTTTTGATTTGTATGATATTTTTTTTAATTAGAAAGGAGTTAAAGATGAATAAAAATGTATTTGAGAGTTAAAAGATGAATCAAAAATGTACTTGAGATAAGTGAAAGAAAAAAGAGAAATTTCAACAATTAAAGAATTTTTTAGAAATTTACTTATGTCTAGTTATTATATATAATTTATTAAATTATAAATTATTATAGATAAGGACACATGAAATGCTCCACAAAATTTTAAAAATGCTTAAGAATGTAAAGGAAACAAAGTCAAAGATAGTAAGGACTACCTTGTGAAGATTATTTATTTTAAGCAAGTAGTACCCTAAACTATTGGGTAAATTAGGAAAAGTCCTCAACATAATAAATTCACAAGTTATATTCTTAGCACATTAAAATAATATTTTAAAAATGAGAAGTAAGAAATTAAAGATGATAAATATTTATTCAAGTTTAATGGTTTAATTATTTCAAGATAATAAAGATTTACCATGTTTTTAAATAGAAAAAAAAAAGAAATAACCCAATATGAGATAAAGTTAAAGAGACATACTTTCCACTTGTAGCTCAAAAGAGAAATAAAAATTATTAGGTGAAGAATAAGTGAAAAATCACTATAAAATCATGGACCTAGAAAATAATAAGTGAACCTAAAAAAGAAAGAGATATGAAGATAAAATTCAAGGGAATAGTACCACATGTCTTTCCTACTCCACCTCTTCTCCTTATCAAAGCAAATTGATTTCAATACTACAAAAAAAAAATTATTTACCCATATACTACATTTTTTAAAATATTTCCTCACATACTATAAATCTAAAACTTGGCTCATATCATACTAAGATCTAAAGATTTTTTTTAATATATAAGTACAAAACTTAGTCTCAGTCAGACCGAGTTTGTGCTCATGAAAGCAAAAAAATCAACATGCACACATCTCCACCCCCACTTTTTTCCCCACCCTACGCCAGTGCTCCCTCTATTAAGGGCTTAGTTTTTTATTTGACAATGGAAGCAATAGTGTGAGCCTACCATCTGAGGCTATCTTTCGTGTCAATTTCATTGTTCAAGGGTGGGATTGTCCAATTCATCAGTGAGTTGATCTTCTTTTGCTCTTCCAGAACTTGCCAAGCTTTAGAAAGGCAAGGTCTTTAGATTGCAGAGTAATTATCAAAGTCATCTTCTTTCTCATCTTTCTTCCCTAACCTTTGCAGCCCAAGAATAATGGAAGCCAAGCTAGAGTCCTTATCTTCTTCTGAGAAAACAAAGCCAAGATCCATGAAACCTTTTAGCTCTTCAAATTCCAGGATCGACAAGCTCTTGTTTTCCCGTTTCTTCCTTCTCCTGCTTGCAATATTCTTATGATCAAAAGGCAACACTTCAAGATTTTCTCGTGCTCTCTCTTTAACTTGTGGGTATATGACTTGTTTTCCTGATAGGATGATCTAGACATCTGCTTGAAGAAGAACAGAGTCTGGGGAGAAAAAACCATGCTTGAAACTTGTAATAGGGCTCAGTTGATCACTTAGTGACCTTGTGTGTGAGGTTTTGATGCGTGAAAGCTTCTGTTCTAATGATTCTTGATCCATTTTATGAGCTGGGTCTAATAATAAAGCACTAGCGCAGGGTGGAGAGACGTAAGTGAGGGTGGGAATGCATGCATGTTGATTTTTTTCTCTTTCATGAGTAAAATTCGATCTGACAGAGACAAAGTTTATTTTTTTTCTTTCATGAGCACAAACTCGGTCTAACAGAGACTGAATTTTGTGCTTTTATATTTAAAAAATTAAAAAATTGCTCAGATCTTGATATGATACAAGCCAAGTTTTAGATTTATAGTATATGAAAAAATATTTTTAAAAGTATATATGGGTAAATAAATTTTTTTTGTAGTATTGACATCAATTTGCCCCTTATCACTCACGAGAAAAAGGTGCTAATTCAATTATTAAGTAATTTTTAGTAGGATACATGTCACCAATTTACATTATTTTTTGATAAAGGATAATAAGTAGCCAAACCTTCTTGTTGTTGCCAATTTTTTAAGGTGGCAGCACGTTTCACAATTAGAAGAATTCAACCGCCTACCTGATGCTTTCTTCTTTATTTATTTATTTATTTACTCATCTATTATTGATTATTAGTTCCCATCAAGTTTGTTGTTAAAATAAAAGAGGAAGAGGTAAGAGAACAATTCATGCGTTGTTGTCATCTCACTATCAAACAAAAGGACAAATAAATGATAACATTAGTTAAGGTGTGGCTTTAAGCTATCAATGTTTCAAATTATATTAGGTGGCATCAAACCAAAGCTTCATAGGTATAAAATGGGTTTAGGTGGCAACAAATGGGATTTTGAGAACTCATTTTCGGTGAAAAATTTATTAACACCACTATTTCCATTTTCTTCTAATGCAACTTTATATACCCATTACCCTTCTACTTCTTCACTCTTCCTTTTCCTCTACAAACCAAAACTGAGGGTGAGGAAGAGTTAGAGAATTACAAGAAGAAAAGAGGGGACCGAAGAACAAGCTAAGAAGAAGAAAGCAAAGTTAGATTACTTCTAAGATAGCAAAGCTTATATTTCACTTTGGTATATATTTGTTTGCTTGAGTAGGATAATTTGACGGTATTGAATGTGTATGAATGCTATCCATGAATTTATGCTATTCCTTGATAAATGATTGAGTTATGATAATTGAAGATCAAATCTGAAATATGATTAATCTCTTACATCCTCACATATCTTGAGTAAATATTAGTTTTGCTATTGAGATTATTATAATCTCACCCTCCAAAAATTTATTAACCATGCTATGACCAAATGCAAGCAAAGGAAATGAACTCATTTAATGAAGACAAAATGAAGTTTTGAAGTTAGAAAGATTGCTTGTAGCTATTTGATGGATGTAAATTTATTATGAATGTGTATAAGGTGTAAGCATAATATTATGTTCTGTATCTATGACCCTATTATAGCTAAAGATGTATGGAATCTAGCCCAACCAAAGGGAAGAAACTCATGCATGGAAGTGGCAAATTAGTACAAATTGTATATAAATGGTATAAAGCTATAAAAGAATTAAATAGGGAGTTAAGCTATGTTTTTATGGACTTTAATTGTCTAATGTTGTAGTAGCATGTTGTATATATGTATAGATTATGTTATAAATGATCACAAAAGAGGAAGTTGGTAATGTTGGAGTTAGACTTTAATCTAGAAGTATATTGTTATTTTGGACCATAAAGCTGATCTAACAAATCCAATGGCTAGAGAACTTTTTATAATCAAATAAGACATGTCAAAGTTTGATATCACTTTTGAATCATGCAGTTTTGTGTTCCATATATCAAGTTATGAATTTTTCAAGACAAGAAACATAATCCAAACCAATTTACTAGAAAAAAATGACATGAGTTATTAATCTATGAAATGGTATCAATTAAGCCAATCAACCTCCTATTTTACAATTTTAAATTATGGATAACTTCCTAAGCATTCTATGAAACCTTATACAATGTTCATTGAATCCCTATAACTCAAGTTAGAATTTTTCAATTTGAAGCATAAAATCTAGATCCAATACATAGTCCAAATAAGATGGTCCTAAAAATTAAATAAACTATATCAATTGAGAAATATTAAGTTATCTTTCATGCTTTTTTTTATATAGTTAAGGTCATAAGATTTACAAAGAATGTAAGATCATGGCTATTGGAGTTCTATAACTCTAGTTATGAATTTTGCAATATAGGACATGAAAATCTGGATTAAGTATGATTAAGAATAGATAGTGTTGAAGATTCATTAAACTGTATTAGATGGAAAAGCAAAAGTCATGTGAAATATTTTTATCTTATAAAGGACACATAATAAGTCCTAGATGACCTAGTTTGGGTAAGTATAGTCCAAGATATGAATTTTCTAACCTAAGGCAAGAAATTCAAAAAGTTGGACAAGGAAAAACAGAACTATTTAACTAAATAAATAAACTGTGTTAATTGGATTAGTAAAAGTCAAGTTCAGTATTTTTCTTTTATATATATATATGGATCATTTATCTTTAAAAGGAGATAAAAATGAGCTCAATCCAAGTTTTTTATAATAAGTTATGAATTTTTAAAAATTAGTCTAATATTTTGCAAATATTAAGTTATGGCAAAAATTCAATTTTTAAGTCCTTCTTGTCTCCATGAAAACTAACATAGCTTCCGTTGCCAAATAATATTTCTTAAAATAGGATGTTTCAAATATCAAGTAATTAAGGTGTAAATAAAATTTGAAATTATAAAAGAACCTCTAATAAGAAATATATTTGGGTTTGAATGGAATCCAAATCCATAATTTTTTTTTAAATCCAAATAAGAGATTTGGTCTAAATTTAAATTATTGTTAATCCAAAAGCAACATTTAT